CCCGTGCGCCCTCCCGATGAAAAACGGTCTGGGCTTGTGGGAGCCATTTGTCCGGGAAGAGTAATTTTAGAAATTCCTGCAGTGACTTCACGGGGGCTGAATTCACCCAGGTTTTATTTCCAACACCTGTTCTTCCTGAACCGCTAACTCGGGGCAAGGCTGGGCCCACGGTGCAGGGACACGGCCGGCTGCGTCCGTGGTGGCTCCTCTGCCCGGATGCACGCGAGCCGCGTGCGCTGGGAACACCGCTCACCCCGCGTCTCGCATTTCGAGCTGCAGTGGCTGGCGAGGCTCTCGCGTGTCTAAGTCTCCCTGATAAATCACTGAAGCGGGAATCGGAGGCTGACCGCTGCGATCATGTGCCCGAGCGCCCCGCCGACGGAAGCACCTGTCCCACACCCACGTGCCGGGCGCCTCTGTTCTCCGAGGAGTGAATCTCCTTGTGAAAAGCCTGTGTTCTGCTCAACACACGGCACATGGTCTCATTCACGAGCCCACACCCCTTTTCCCTGGGAACCTCCCAGCATCCGCCCTGACCATCACCCTGACCACCCGCCCTGACCACCCCCCCTGCCGCGGCCTCTCAGGCACAGATTTCCTCCCAGCCAGGCTCCACTGTGGGGAGCTAGGCTCTGGCCTCCGGGAAGGTCCCCCCATAACAAATGCCACAGCTTCCTGTTGGTCCCCAGCCTGGGAGCCAGCCAGCCCCTTGGTGAGAGGGGTGCTCCAGCATCCAGCTCTGCTTGTCACCCGGGTGCCCTGAGGGGCTCCCCCACCTCCCCGGAGCCCCGTGCTCTCGCCTGCAGCTGAGGAATCATATATCACCCCAACCCCTGGGACCCCAGACTGATTGGGATGAACACAGTGAACCGCGTCTGGCCGCTCTCGTCCTGTCTTGTCGGTAGCTCACCCATCCTCATTGCCGCTCACCTATCTCCCCAAACGGGACCTCTCCGAGACTGGGACCCTGCCTATGTTCACATTATCCCCCCCCACGCCCCCCACGCCTATGGGAGAACCTAGACTCAACAAATGTCCGAGTGAATGGGAAATGTGACAAACTGAAACATGTCCCTAGAAAGTCAGTATGTGCGTTCTTACGTGTAAACACGGAAGCCCATAGTGGACAGGTTAAAGGGAAGAATTCACTTTAGAAGGTTGACATGTGGAGTCACGGATTATTGAGAGCAGGGATGAGGCCTGCGCCCGGGCAGCACCCTGGGGAGTGGGTCCCAGAGGAGCTGGGTCCCAGAGGCGGCTGGTGCCCCTGCTGACGGGGACCACATTCGTGTCACTGTCCCTTCTGCTCAGGACGTGGGCGTCCGTGCGCTGTTGCTGACCTGGACATGTCAGCGGCAGCTCACGCGGGTCTGTCTGTGATGCGGACTCATTGCCGGGCCCTGGTGAGGGCACCGTCCTGTCGTGTCTCCTGCGAGGGACCCGCCACGGTCCCCGTGACCTGGGCAAAAAGGTGGGTTCCAGAAACGAGGGCGGTTGTTGTGATATGTGATTCTTCTATGAAATCGCTCTTTGAAACTCGGGATCAAGGAAGGATAACGTTTCATCTGTGACACGAGACGGCCTTAGGGGAGGGAACGTGGTCCAGTGAGCAAGGAGAAGGCAGTAAAGGGGACAGTCATGTTGTCGCCGGGCGCCCTCCAGTGGCCACCGCTGGAGGTTTCAGCCGGGGAAGATGAAGTGTTTTATTTCAGCCTCAGGGTTATGGGGTGGGTTTCATCTTACCCCACGTCCTGTTTCAAAGGCAGCCTTTTTCTGAGCAGCCCCGAATCGCATGGGACTGGTCAGGGAGGACGCCACCCTGAGACCACAGTGCGACCTGGGACCTGCTACAGCCAGAGGACCTGAGCTTGGAAGGGGTGTCCCTGAGCCGGCCCCGGGCCACCTGGCCTGCCCTTCGCCCGCGGTGCCCTGGGAACAGGGAATGCCCGGCCCGGGGGGGTGCCGGCCGGCGGACACCGCCAGTCCTCCGTCCCAGGAGGGCCGCTTCCCCACGAGAACGCCCTGTGTTTACGAGGCCGGAAGCAGAGGAGAGCGGGCGTAACTGCCATGAACTCCGGCTCTTGGTTGCCCCCCTTCCCGAGTCCTCGCCACATCTCGCCCTTTCCCCACTGCTGGCAGATTGGCCGGAATTTGCATAAGACCCTTCATTTCGGAGCACAGAGCACTCTGCACCCCATGGACAAACTCTGAAGTCATTTTCAACTCAAAACTCCACGTTTTTAAAACACCTTTTCCCTCCGGGCGTCATTTCCTGGCCCAGAAACCCAGTGGCCCCCATTCTGCATGCTCAGCTCCAGCTTCAGACGGTGCCCGACTGGGAAGTCCAGCCCAAGCCCCCCCATGTCCCAGCCTCTGGCCGGGGCCGTGGCCCCAGCCCCACCAGGCCGCCCCGTGCACCCCAGACCGCCTGGCCCGGTCACCGTCCCTCCACCCCCCTCCTCTCAGAGTCTCTCAACCCACCTGATCCCCCAAAGGTGTTTATCCACAACATGGCCCAGCCCCCCGCTACCTGACAGGCGAAGGGGTCAGGGACGCCGCCGTGGTGTCTGTGTGACCTGCTCCGCCTCAGCCTCCTCACCTCTCACCTGTCTGTCACCAGGGTCGGCCGCCCCGTGTCCACCACATCGAGGGGATGAGGACCACGGCGCACACTTCATACGCGCAGGCCAGCGATTGTCAACCCACGTGCCGCGAGGATTTTCACAACCTGCAGCACCTGCAGCGAGCGGGTGGGGAAGATGGATGCGGCCGACCTCTGACCTCCGCCCGACCTCCTGCCCACTGTCCTCTCCTGCCGGCCCCCCGAGCCACGTGTCCTGGGATCTGTCACCCTAACCCTCGGAGTGGCTGCCAGGTAAGAGAGATACCTGTGTGACTCTTCTTTCCCCTGCGGCGGCTTTGTGTTTCCCGGGCTCCCCCATAGGCTCACAGCATTTCGCCCTCTGGGACGCTTTTAGCTAAAGAGCCTTAAAGTCCCAGGCAGGTTATGTCCTTAAAACCCCAGGCAGGTTATGTGCTCTGTGGTGTGGACGCGACCTGAGCTGCTGACACAATCGCAGGAGCGTGACTTGATGTCAAATCCACGTCTGCAAATGGGAATATTCTCTGGCCTCGCGGGCGGCGGGCGCTGGGAGGTTTGGTGATAATGACCCAGGTGTATTGTTGTTTCCGCTGATTTAAGGGAGGCGAAATGGAATGACGCGTCTCCTTAACAGTCAAGGACTTGCGTTTCGGGTTTAGTTATGTGTGTGAGTCAAGTTTCGGGGCTTTAGTTCCATCTCGGTGAGTGATTTTAATCAGGAAAAAATAGGACACGGTCTAAGCCCGCCTGTCTGTTATTTTAGTCTTTGTCGGAAACTGCAACTCTAGCCAGAAAGACAAGCATTGTGGTCACAGTGACGCCAACCCAGGGGGTCCCCCTTATCAGAGACGCACGTTTCCTGTTGGCCCACCCAGGTTGGGTTGGTCTCTCTCGCTGCCCCCCCGCCTCCCGCTGTGAGCACCTCGTCCCACCTTCTCTGTGGACCCCACTTCCAACCACAGACCCCCGGTTCTCAAACCTCAGGGGCAGAGCCGCCTGGTCCACCCTGCGGCCCCTTCCCCCTACCCCCCCCATACACAGATTCTGACCAGTTTGCATTTCTAACAGCAGCCCCCCCCCCACCCCCACCTTGCTGCTGAGCAGGGCTGATACTTGGGAAACCACAGATTTCCATGATCAAATAATCCCTTCTAAGCTGAATCTGCATCTTTTCTGAAATTCAGAACCAGGGCCCCGCTTCTGCTGTCTTACCTGCAGGTGTTGTGATTGATGTCTCAGGAGCAGGTACTGACTGAGGCCCCTGGTTCCCAGCCCCGGCCCCGCCTCCCAGGCAGCCCTACCTCCTACCCAGGGGCTGGTGTGTGAGAGCTGCACTTCCCCTGGTGCCCGGCAGGTGGCAGCATGTTCCAGCATAAAGGGCCTCGTCCCTGATTCTCTTACTTCAGGATGGGACGACTTTCAGAAGGATTTGTCAAAATCGCCCTGTGTGTTGGGGAAAATGAAAAAGAGGAAAGCACTGTGGAGCGTAACAGGCCTGGCACTCTGCACAGGAAAGGGAATGTCCGCAGTGCGGGCGATGGGTTTGGCAGGTTTGGAAGAGCGACAACATGTCATAAGAATGACCACAGATAGTATTAAAGCTCATGTATGGCAGGTTATGAGCTCATTGGTTCACGTGGATTCTGCCCGTGCTCGGAGCAAGCCTGTATGTTCATTGTTATCCGTTAAATAGAAGGAAGGCCCAGGGTTCGAATGCCCCTTGTCCTTCGAGTGCTGCTCGGCCTCCGCGTGGTCCGTGAGCTGTTCTCGATTTGCCACGTGGGCCGGGTCGCTCCTCCCCCTCCTCCCCCTCCACAAACCCACCTACTCTCACACACACTCACACATACACACACACTCACACACACAGATACAAATACACATTCATATATACACAGTCATACACTCACACACACACAAACCCACCTACTCTCACACTCACACATACACACACACACAGATACAAACACACTCATATACACACAGTCATACACTCACACACACACAAACCCATATACTCTCACACACACTCATACATACACACACACAGATACAAACACACACTCATGTACACATAGTCATACACTCACACACAAAACCCACCTACTCTCACACACACTCACACATACACACACACAGATATAATCAAACACACACTCATATACACACAGACATACACACACACACACAAACATACTCTCTCACACACACTCACACGCATCCGTTCACGTTCCGGTTCCACAACTGACAGCATTTGCTCCAATCCTAGGACTCAAACCACAGCCAAGAGCCACTTCAAGGCCACGGGCTCCAGATTTTAGTTAATGACGAGGCTCTGCCTACCCAGAGTCCCCTAGGAACCAGGACATTTTTCTGTAAATGAAAAAAAAAATCACAATTTAAATACATGTTGTGCCCATGCCGCCAGAATATAATTTGGTCTAAAATACAATATTTGGGAACAAAGACAGTCCCTCAGACTTGGTTGTTTTCTTTCCTAAATGGTTTTGGAAACCCGTGGCTGCCTTCAGACCCGGGGACGCTGAAATCCTGTGTGTGATGAGTCGTCGACTCTGGGAACTCAGTCGTCTGCTAAGAGGATGGGCCATGTTTTCAGAGTCAAGGGCTGAGAGGAGGGAGAAGAGGCCCTGAAGCTGCTCTTGGTTGCGGCTCCGCTAAACTTCAGAGATGAGCGGAGACATCTGTGCACACAGGTGCCCTGACATCGGGGAGGTAAAGCCGAGGTCCTTTCCAACCATAAATAATTGAAGCGAAAGCAATTAAGCAGAGAGGTGACCAGCACACGTAGCAGAGGTCAGCGAAGACAGAAATCATTTCCTCCGGCCGCCGACTCCTGTCAGGCGAAAAAGAGGCTATTTTTATCCCCAAAGGAAGAGCAGTTTTCTTCCTGGAACCCTTTTCTCCTAAAGTGAGTAGGGCCGCTTTGTCTGGGTTGGGAAGAAAGGAAAATAAAGGCCTAGCCGCTGAGCTCGCGTCTCGGCGTTCCTCGTCTGACCATCAGGGGCTGTGGCCACGTTTGGGATCCCAACCGACCGCGTCGCGCCAGCCTCGGGGGAGGGATGGGGACTTGCTTGAGCTGTGATGTGGACATGTCAGGCTTGCTGTGTCCTCTTCTCTCCCCTCCCAGGACCCCCAGGATGGCCCGTGACCCCATTACCCCCGCCACCCCCGACTGTCGCTGCTGCAGACAGGCCCCGGGCAGCGTGGCTGGGGCCATGGGTCTGCAGTCCCCGGGAAGCCACATCGAGAAGTAGGAACCTGTGGCTTCCACCCCACGCTGCCTCCGTTAGCCTCATAACATCCAAGCCACGCCCTGAGCCTCGGTTTGTTATCTGGAAACGGGGAGCATGTGACTTCTAGTCATGGTGTCGTGGGGACGGGACGCTCACATAATTAATGGGAAGCTCTACGTGAGCCAGGAAGCTAGCAGGGGCTCAGAGTGGCTCCTGGACCGAGCCCATCTCCCCCTCAGCTCCTAACCCCCTGGGACCAGGCCGAGCAACACTGGGGTGAGGGGAAGGGGATATGGAGACGAGACCAGAGACCCTGGTTCCAAACACCCTCAAGTTGGGGGGACCCTCCCTCTCCACCCTCCGTCAACCATAGCAACAGGGGCCCGGAGAGTGTGGCTCAGTGGTTGAGCATCGACCTATGAACCAGGAGGTCACGGTTCTATTCCCGGTCAGGGCACATGCCTGGGCTGTGGGCTCCATCCCCAGTGTGGGGTGTGCAGGAGCAGCTGATCGATGATTCTCTCTCATCATGGATGTTTCCACCTCTCTCTTCCTCTCTCTGAAGGCAATAAAGATGGATTTTTATAAACAATAGCAGCAGGGCCCACGGCAGTAATGGCGGCTGAGCTCCAGTGAGCACCTGGTGTGTCCCGCACCGCGTGGGGTGTCTTCTTTAGGGTTCACCGGCGACACCATTCATGCATCACACGTTCGCGCTGCGTCTTCTGTCTGTTGTAACCCTGCCGTCTCTCACCCGGGACTCGCCCAGCTCCTGCTCTCACCCACGGGGCTCCCTGCTTCCCACAGAGGCCCACGTGGCGGGACGGGCGTGTGGTTTCGGGCTCTCGGGCTCCGTGTGCGTCCCGGCCGAGTGGCCCGTATCCCCTGCTGAAGTCAACAAACCCACGGCAGTGCCGCGACAAAAACCCAGCAGCTCACACAAGCGTCCCTCCCTGGAGACAGTCTGGAGGCAGCACGTGGTCCAGGTTGTAGGCATCCAGCTGCTCTTCCTCCTCCGCGTGGCTCCGTCGTGCTCCCGTGATGTCTCCCCCCCCGGGGCAAAGGCGGCTCAGGCCACACGCTGGGGCCCGGCTCGCGGGAAGGGGCAGAAACCAGTGCTTGAACACAGGTCCCGTAAGGAGGGGTCTCGGCAGGAGCACCCACGGCCCCCGCTTGGCCCATGGCTGATGGCACATCGCAGGCCTCGCCAGCTGCTCCAGCCTCGCTCACGGGTCTCACCCAGTCACGTGACCGGCCCAGACGCTGTGAGGGGCGCTGAGTGAGAGGACGCAGAGCGCACCCCTGGAGAGGTTACTGTTCCCTCGCTCCTGGGCCTTTTGGGAAAAGTTGGGAGACTGAAAGGTCTTTCTTCTCAGAGACGATGCACACACAGACACATGCACATAGACACATAGGCAAACACACAGACACGTGTAAACACACAGGCACATGTGTAAACACACACACACACACGCAAACAAGCGCATCACAACCACCACAACCAGAGGCATCAATCCATAACCCTAGATGTTCCTTTTTTTTCTTTAGCCAAACAGTGAGATGGTGAGGAAATGATCCTCTATCAGCTGTGGATTGGACACCAAAGTCTGGCTTTCTGAGTATTTATCCCCAGGATGAGTGAGACTTCTAATTTTATTACCATGGAAGTCACACATGCTAACATGTTTCATTGGAAGAAGTCCCTACACACCCAATTTTTATCTTTTAAAAAAGTCTGTCCAAATAAAAGCATACACCCAACCCTCATGTCATCATGCCCTACATGAAATGCATGTGTGTGTGCATGTGTGAATGTGTGCCCATTTTTGTGTCTGCATGTGCATGCACATGTGCACGTGTGCAGGTATGTGCATGCATGTGTGTGCTCATGGATGAGTGTATGCTTTGCACGAACCCGTGTGTGCATGTATGGGCATCTATGTGTGCATGTGTGTGCTCATGGATGAGCATGTGCATTGCATGTGGCCATGCGTGCATGTATGTGTGTATGCATGCACTCATTGCGGTTGCTTGTGCATGTGTGTGCATGCATGTATGCATGTATGTGCTCATGGATGAGCATACGCTTTGCATGTGTCCGTGTGTGCGTGAGTCTGCATGTATGTGTGTATGCAGGCTCTCACGTGTGCCTGCGTTTGTTTGTGCATGTGTGTGCTGTGTGCATGTGTGTGGACATGGCCCTCGCTGGGAAAGAGAGCACGAGTGCTGCACAGGGCCCTCCCCCTGCGGGCTCTCCGGCTCTTTGATCAGCGTTGCCAGCAGCGCCTCGGATCAGCTGGCGAGCTCGCCCAATGGGACGCTTGCACACGCCATTTATTTCTCAGAACTTTAAAGCGACCCCCTAGGGTTTTAGTTCCACTGGAAACTTTGTAAGAAACTTTGCATTTGGAGCCAAGTTTTCAGGCGGCTCAGAGAAGGGCTGTGTTTACTATTCGCCAGGGGCCGCGGCTTCCGGTGCTTTTCAACCTCCGTGCTGGTCCCAGAAACCTCATTTCCAGGCCGATAAAATCACAGCTGCTCTGGGGGCCACGGGGGTGGTGCTCTGGGCCGCCACCCACCGGCCCTCCACCCACCGGCCCTCCCTCCCTGCCACCCCCTGCCGTCCCTCCCCGCCCCCTCCCTCACCCGACACCCTCGAAGCCTGTGGCAGAGCCCGGCCACCCTGTGAGCACTGCTGGGAGCCAGGCCTCACCCGCTGTGCTCACGGCCTGGGGTTCAAGACCAGGAGACCGAAGGGGGCATCACCCAGGAAAACGGCGCCTTTTCTGGGCCCCAACCTCGCGGTGGGCTGATCCCTCGGGGCAGGAGGCAGGAAGCAGCCAGCCAGGCCGGGCGCCGCGTGGACAGAGCGGGGGTGTCACGAGGAGACGCACACAGGTTTGAGCGCCAGATGTGCTGGTCTCGGGGGCACAGTCCTGCTGACGTGCGTCCCGACAGGACGTGGAGCGGAGGCCGTGCGGGGCCCAGCGGAGCTCAGCGTCCCGTCTGCGGAGGGGGAGGTGCCCGCTGGCTCTGAACACCATCTCGTCCCTGGCGGTCTCCCCTCCCCCGGCTCCCTTCCCCCGGCTCCCTTCCCCCGTGCTGCTCACCTGCACTCACGTCACATGTACTTACTGGTTCGAGACGACACACACAATGCGGTGTCTCTCTCGCGCCAGAGCTCAGCCTCGCGGATCCTCTGTTGACTTTCCTTTGCTGTCACCCCAGGGGTCCAGGGCAGTAGGTGGGCAGCGCGAGGAGCTGGGAGAGAAGGAGCCATGAGATTGTGTGGATAAGAAAGCACGTGTGTGACGAGTCCCACGTGGTCACGGGCCTGCCGCGGGGCCTCCACACGGTGAGGTACAGGCAACGTGTCGTCAGCGTCCCCGCGGAGAACCCGGTCACGATGCCGCGATCTCACCCATCCCTCCCCCGCCCCCCGGGTGTCATCAGCATGCTCCCCGGTGACAACAGAGCGCCCACCGGCCGGGGCACGTGGGCCGGGACAGCCCCTCGGATCAGCTGGCAAGTTCACCCAATGGGTCAGGCTGGACGCTGCACTGGGAGCCGTGGCCACCGGCCCTGCCCGCGGGTTCCGGGTCACTCAGTGTTAGGCGGGCGTTTGGGGTGTGTTAGAGCGAAGGCTGCACCGACGGTGATGTCCATCACCAGGGAGCAGACACATCCGAGGCCCCTCCAGGGCCGTGGCCGCTCCTGGGCAGGCTGCTTCGGGTCTGAGCCGGACGCAGGGGACCAAGCGGACCCCCCTCCCCCACAGACTCGGCGCTGCCGGCCTCTCCTCACTGCCCCGTGTGCGTGTCTTTGTCTCTCTCTCCCTTTCAGTTTCGCCTTTTCTTTCCCGCTGCGCGTGTGGCTGAAGTGGTGCGTTCAACGTGTTGTTTCCAAAACTAAAAGCGGCGACAAAAGACTGTCATGCCGAGAGCCTTTCCTAGTTGGAAGGATCTTCAGAAAAAAACGTATCCAAACCTCTTCATTTGCATAAGGTACAGAAGAAACGCAGAAATAATTTGCCTAAAATCACAGTTAAAACCCTGTTATCAGAGCCCAGCTCCGTGGCTCCCTAACCCATGACCTCTCCCTCTCAGCCCGTGTCATGCGTCACCCTGTCAGGACCCTGGTCCCTTGCCCACTCAGAACTGCCCACGGCAGGGGAAGGCGGCCGCCTGCATCCCTCTGCCCCAGCTCAGGGCCCCAGCACCAGGGAGGGGGGCATCTGTCCAGTCCTGACCCCCATTCCCCCTTCAGCCTCCGGACCCTCCCCACACCCGGGGCAGCTGGATCCACGCAGCCTCTGGAGCAATGAGTCACTGCCTGATGGGCCCAGCCGGCCTCCTCCCTCCCTCCCTTCCTCCCTCCCTCACCCCCTCCTTCTCCCCCTCCCTCCCTCACCGCTCAGGACGCCCTGGCGGGGGAACCGACCACAGGGGCATCAGACTCAGGGGCGCTCCTCTTGAGTCTGTGGGGCAGGAGCCGTCCCCCCCCCCCCCCAAGGACCAGAAACAGGCAGACGGACGGACGGCCCACGCGGGGAGAGAAGGGACTTGGAGACTCCAGCAGTGTAAACACAACTGCATTTTTCAAACAATGAGCATTCGCACACAGCGCCAGGTTACTGCTGCCAGGGAGTCTGTGGCTCAATGACCTCACCTCGCACTTTCGCACACAGCGCCAGGTTACTGCTGCCAGGGAGTCTGTGGCTCAATGACCTCACCTCGCACTTATGCCCGAGGCGAGCTGATAAGCCAGGCCTCGTCCTAGTAAATGCTGATAAGCCAGCCCTAGTTCTAGAAATATCAGCTGATAAGCCAGGCCTCGTTCTAGTAAATGCTGATAAACCAGCCCTAGTTCTAGAAATGCCAGCTGATAAGCCAGGCCCTCTGCTTCCATTGCCGACGCTGGGCCTGTTTCCCAATATTGAGGCTCAAATTCACCTCCACCCTCAGCCATCACACCTCGCTCTGTGCCTTACACAGGCCTGGGGAATGTCCGGCCCATGGGCGGCATTAGGCCCATGAAATTATGTGGCCTGGCCCTGCCAGGCATGAGGGGTGAGTGAATGAGATGTTTGACCTAACAGAGCAGGCGAATGTTTAAGTGGATGATTCTGTATGTCCCCGAATGATGTTATAAATATCCAAATGGCCCTCGGCAGGAAAAAGGTTCCCCAGCCCTGCCTTATGCACCCCCTGCACGCACGCACACGCACACTCATACACACACACATTCACACACATACACAGACACACTGTCAGGCACACACACTCATACACAAATGCACACTCATATATACACGCACACTCATGTATACACAGACACACACACTCACATAGACTCACTCACACAGACACACACTCACTGCTCTTTTCAAACTTTTGCCAACAAATATATGCATCTCATTCCCTCGGTCCCAGATGGTCTTTTAAATGCTTTTAAGGGCGGTGACGATGGAGGAAATCGTAGAAACCAAGGAGGAGGCGCCTGGAAGGGACGCTGAGGGGAGCCGGCTGTCCCTGCCATTGCGGGTGCTGGGCGGTGGGGACCTGGGGGGCTGGGCGGTGGGGTTTGGGGCCGCCCCCAGGGGTCTCTCTTTTGGTTCTGGCCGGGGAACTACGTCTCCCCGCCCGGGTCACGGACTCCCCTCCCTTCACTCAAGCGGGGAGAAGAGGGGGAAGGAAAGGGGAAAATCAGATAAAATTTCTGTCTGTGCCGCCCGCCCTCCACGCTTTGGGCGAATGCCCGCGTGAGAACCCTGAGCCCTTGCAGCTGAAAGTGGATGTGGGATATTTTTGCAGATTCCTTTGCCGCTGGGCGGGTGACGCTGCACGTTATAAACCAGTTTTGCTCCAGCGATTTCTCCTCCCAGCAGCGGGGCGTCCACCCTGGACGCAGGAGGACATCGGTGCTAAGTGGACGGTAATGAGTGCGGACACAGATGTGCAGAAAGCGGCCTGTGTGTTATTTTTAGAGCGTCCACGTGATGTGATTCATCTCAAAAGCATTTCTCCTCCGCGTTAGGATCCAACGCCGCCAGGGTTCTCGAAGCCGTGGAGAGCACATTTGAACACAATAGTATGTGTCTTCTCTCCCCTTCGGCTTCTCGGCCTCCCACAGGCCAGCCTTCACCCCACCCCTCCGGTAACTCCCCCCTGCCCTGGTACCCCGCTGTCCCTGTTCAAATGCCGCCATCCTGGGTGTCCCCGATCTGCTGACCAAGGTGACATGCTCACAGACACGAGCTATGTGCAAACATCTGAAAGTCATCATTTCTGTGCATCTGCGGGCGTTTTGAAGGGAAAAGTCTACGAGAGGATCAAAAACAAGAGCAAACCACATCTGTTTGGGTTTAAACGACATTGTCTCTGTAGTTCAAAGTGGTTTCCTTTGGTATAAAAAACACTGCCCAGCTGTTTTTTATCTTCCTCTGTCCTTAGCCTCTATCAAAGACGTGTTTTCATTGGCCGGCCAGGGTTGTTGCTAAACGTCGAGCTGGTTAGGAAAAAGGGGGTGAAGGGGGTGCTTTCTTCATCTGACTCTGCGCCCGGAGCCTTTTCTTGTTGCTCAGAGAAAACGGATGTGGGGTGGGGGTGGCCAGGGGTTTTGTTCAATCTAAATAGAAACATTGTATCTACTGTATGTCATCAGGCCGTAAATTAGGTCTTCCACCTCCTGTACAAGTCATTGATTACAATCAACACCTGAAGCAACATCAAAGGCAGGAACTATAGGCCAGACACGTGGCCGCGGGAGTGCAGGACGGTCCAGTGGGAACGTGCGCCTGTCAGTCTCGCTCCTCTCCAGCAGAGACACGGGCCTGGAGGCGCCGTCCAGGGCGTCTGACACGGATGCATGAGAACATCACATCTGCTCACGAAGTCTCCTAGTTTATGAGGAATCAGCGGCTCTGTGATGCTCCCCGCAGCGGTTCATTAGAATGAAGCTTGAGCCGGGCTAGTATGGCTCAGTGGTTGAGTGTCCACCTAGGAGGTCATGGGTTCGATTCCCGGTCAGGCCACATGCCCAGGTTTGGGGCTCGATCTTCAGTGTGGGGTGTGCAGGAGACAGCCGATCAAGGAGTCTTGTCATTGACGTCTCTCTCTCTCGCCCCCTCTCCCTTCCTCTCTGAAATCAATACAGATATCTTATAAAAAGAAATAAATGAAAAATAGACCGAGAAAGCAGAAACTCTGTTCCCGGCTTTACCAGCTCTGACTTCTCTACGAATCTCTTCTGGCTGGTTTCTCCTGCAAAATGGAAAGCTGGTGTATGGGATCCTTGAGATGAGAGAAATAAAAACGATTTGGAGCCCCCACAGAAATGCCAAGCCAATTTTTAGAGAAATCCGGAGCGCACTGGCCATGCTCGGCCTCGAGCTGAGGACGGATTGCAGGCCCGATGGCCTGGCTGTCTCGCTGACATGCAGTTCTGTGCGCCCCCCCTCCCCCAATCTGTCTACAGAACACCACCACCACGTGCCATTAATGCGCGCAAACCGTCCTCAGCGTACACAGAGCCAAAACCTCCCGGCTGGAGAAATCCCACCATCTGCAGGCGAGGCCGCTCCCTTCAATCCTGGGTGCTGGAGGAGACCGCCGAGCGGGCCGGTGTCTTGTTGGGAATGTTCCTACGTGTTCTTGTGAAGTCGGGGACAGTATTTAAAAACTGACCACGTGTGACCATCAAGAAAACATCCAGAATAAGGTCCCCAAGGGACTCCTGGGGAAAGGCAGGAGAGAGAGGAATGCGGGAGAGACTGCAGGCTCAATCCGCCGCAGGGGGCGGGCATGCAGGGGGCAGCCAATCGGCGTTTCTCTCTCATGGAGGTTTCTATCTTTCCCTCTCCTCCTCCCTTCCTCTCTCTCCAAAAAAAAAAAAAGAAAAAGAAAAAAATTTAAAAAAAAAGAAAACAGAGCTATGCTCTCTGCTGCCTTATATGTGTGGGAACCAGACACATGTCTCCATAGGCCCCAAGTTTTGTCACAGGACTAACACCAACCCCTCAGAGAGCAGCATAAACTCACAGTGTCCTGTCCACTGAGACCTTTACCCAGGAAACGTGTGGGAAATGCAGACCTCGTCCCGGCCAGTGTTCACCGAACCCAAGAGAGACCATCAGTGGCCCACCAAGGCCTCCTCGCTTTCCGTCTGACCTTGGCCGTTACAGACAGATGCTGGCCTCAGAGAGCCGCTTCCCCCCAGAGGCCAGGGCTCCAGGCTCCAGGGCGCGTCCAAGAGAAATAACGAAGACCAGGAGCTTGGAGGAGAGAAGAAAGACTTTGGAAATCACTCGGGTTCAACCCGGATGCTCTCAGCCCT